TATGGAATGAAGAGATCAGAAGATGTGGAGTGGTAGACATTGCAGAGAAGGTGAGGGAAGCAAGGTTGAGATGGTATGGACACGTAATAAGAAGAGATGAAGGAGAGCTGGTCAGAGACATTATGGAATGAAGAGATCAGAAGATGTGAGGTGGTAGACATTGCAGAGAAGGTGAGGGACGCAAGGTTGAGACAGTATGGACATGTAATAAGAAGAGATGAAAGAGAACTGATCAGAGACAATATATAGCCGAAGATAAAGGGGATCAGAGGACTGGTAGAACATAAAAGAGATGGATAAATTCTGTAAAATAAAATCTAAATATGAAGGAGCTATATGGTGTACATGACAAAATGCTAGCCACCTTTCACTCTCTTCCTTCGAAGACAACGCGAGGGTCTTTTCCATTCTTTCGATCTCTTTCTTCCTGTCCTTTTCTTTCCTATATTCCTCTTCAGACAACTTGATCACTTCTTTTAATAATTTCTCTTCGTCATTTTGATGGCCAGATTTCGGAGTTTTGGTGTTTGATTGAACGACTTCTGATTAGAAAATAATTTTGGGATGTTGGTTGTAGAGTAGTTAGTGTGTGCTTTAGACTACGTTTACACAAGAACAAAAGTTTCCGTATTTGTAAAAGTATCCGGATTCCTTGTTTTTCAAGAATACGGATCCGTGAGGCGTTTACACCACACAGCGATGGTCAATATAAAGTAAATAATTTTAACCCTCTCGGTGATATTATGCGATGTTTTTACCCTCTTTGGCGGTTGAATTTAATAGCAATAAATTTGCCGGAAAAACATACACCGGAACAAATTGATTCAGATTCTTTACGGAAGCCGGTTACACGAGAGTTTTCTCTGGATTCAAATGTTTCCGGATACGAAGTTCCCACAAACTTTTCCGGATTCAAAGTTTCAGGACAAGGCACAAAACCGAGAAGATTTACTTATCGGATTCGTCGCTGCGTGTGTAAACGGCAACATGAATCTAAAACGTTCCGGTTTCGTGATGAAAACTTTTGCTCTAGTGTAAAGCCTAAAGGGGGTCTTAGTGAATGGCGTTCGATTACTGCAATATTTGCTTGTCTGATTATTATTTTACTTCAGTCGTTTGTGTCTTGTGAAAAGAATACTTCCAGTTTGACTCTACCAAACACCAACTAATAAAAGATGGTCCTTACTGGAGTTCTACCTAGGGAATACAGAACTGATAAAGCTCTCCAGTCAAAATATCAACAGTACTGTTATACTTATATTTCTGACCATTATTATAGATACTTTAGATAAATGCTGCAATACCTGTAAATAGGTCATGCGAAATAAAGCTTATAATAATAAAAAAAAATACTTATAGTTTCTGACTCCCTCCTGTACGTAGTACTGTAGGCTATTAAATGATTGCTCTAGAGGACAGTTTAGAACTAAATCATTTAACCCTAGTTTACCTGATTCAAAAACCTTGGGTACAACACCATTTCGTTGTTGAATCATATGTAGCGCTTGAAGTTCAAGATCCAGATTCTTTTTAATCATTATGCTTTTGAATAACTCAAAATCCTCCCCTGCCCAAACTTGTTCAAATATTGACTAATAATGATAGAAATATTACAAATGATTAAATGAATTCACAGTCTTATATTGTGTGATTATTGAATATTGCAGTCGTTACGTCTGATAGACAGGCAGATAATTGAGTGCTAGCAGATGATTTTACTTGTCAAGGGGAGAGTGCTGCCGCTCAATGGGTTAATAAGCTACTATCTGCCCATGCATCCTGTTAAGACATAAGTATTTCAAAATGCCCTGATGCGCCCTACTTTATTATTTTACTCTGTCCTAGACCGCAAACAGTCCCTCGGGGGGAAAGGAGGGATCACCAACAACATATCAAGAAACAAAATACGCCCACTTTTTGCTCTTGTCAATTTGGCTCTGCCTTTGCATAAACATTGCTTCTATCCAATTAAATATATCCAACAGGAACCGTCAATGTCATGTTTATTTATAAAATCGACATTCAGTCTGGAAATTATTTATGGCATAATTACTATGTATCAGATTTGATTGACAGGCATATTGATTTTGACCAATGGGAATTTTGCATTGTGTGGGCAACCTGTATTTTGTTTTTTTAATGTGTTGTCGGCAGTCCCTCCTTTTCTTTCGCATGCCCAGTCCTAAATCCGCAGAAACTGGAGGGACCGCTCACAGTCTAACTCTGTCCAATGCCAGACGATTTTACTCATCAAGGGAAGAGTCTGGTTTGTGCATTCATAGGTTAATGATTGACCATGATCTGGCTAATTGAATGTGTTTCTGACTGACCAGCTAACCAATAACCCACTGATTGGATATTTTACTCACTCTGTCGGCAACTTTTGTCTGATCATTACACGTTGAACCCGCTTCACATGCCATGACAAATTGTTCTTCAGTAATTCCGACATCTTTTAAGTAACTTGTCAATAACTCTTCCACCTGGGCAAAAGAAACCACAAACACACATGCATGTTCCTTAGTTACAATTGCATTGCACAAATGAATGTCAATTATAGAACTCAAGAAGTAAATTACTGTATCTTAAAGGAGTTAACTGCACTTACTAAAGAGCTGTATTCTTTGTGTATTTCTGTTAGAACTAAGATATTTTCATCACTCGACTCAAAAACTAAATAAATTAAGCCACAGATCACATTACACTCTTCACAAGTGATTAATCATTCATTTTCTCAAGAAAAAGGGATATAACTAGGAAGTGGTCCAAAAAAAGGACATAACTGATGGAAAAAGTGAAAACTGGTAGGGTCAGGGGTCTTATATTTAATCTTCTTTTCATACCAGGGTGTTAGCTACAGTAAGAAATTCGGCATTATGTACACCGCTTTCACAATTATATGTTTAGCCAGCAATTTCACAATTTAGATCAGCCCAAAACGTATCTATTATATATATAGAAAAGGTCGTCCAAATTCAAAATGTTGCTCAAGAAAAATTGGGTACCAGATAAGTGTTGCGAGGATGTCGTGTAGCGTAATATATATATATATAATATATTATATATATATATATATATATATAATACATATATATATATATATATATATATATATATATATATATATATATATATATATATATATATATATATATATATATATATATA